TCGGACCTGGCCGCCATCAGAATCTCGATGTCCTTCGAGCCCACCGCCGAGCTGATCCGAGCTGCCCCAGGTCTCGTCCACGCCCCACTCTCCCTGCGCCGTGAGGCTGATCAAGCACCACGCTGGCGGGCACATGTCGACCCCGAGCTCGCCTCCAGGAACGCCCTTTCCCGTCGCCCTTCGGAGGACGTGGACGCCGCCCTCGTGGGTGTTCGGGCGGGCGCCAACCTCCGCGAAGGCGTAGCCGCTGCACTTGCCAGCCTCGAGCTCCCCGCGGCCCCTCTGCCTGCTCTCCGCGGCCCCGTGTGCAGTCCACGGGGCCCCTGGGGCGTTCGGAGCCGCGCCCTTGGGGCCTCCAGCTCCACCTTCGCGGCCCGTGGCCCCGGAGGTGGCGCTGCTCCGCCGCTGGGCGGCGGCCCAGGCGGCCGTGGAGCCCGCCGGCGGTGGCGACCTCGTGCGCCCAGAGGCCGTCGAGGCCATGGCCGCGGGCCTCCGGGCTTCGCAGGCCTCGAGGAGGAGCAGCGCCCGCGCCGGGCGGGGAGCAGCGAGCACGTGGGCGTGCTTCCGCTTGCGGGTGCAATCCCCCTCCTCCTCCTCCTCCCTCCTCCCTTCTCCCTCCTCCCTCCTCCCTCCTCCTCCTCCTCCTCCTCCTCCTCCTCCTCCTCCTCCTCCTCCTCCTCCTCCTCCTCCTCCTCCTCCTCCTCTCCCATTCCTTCTCCCCCTCGAGGTCCGCACAGCGCGGGTGCCGTGCCCGCACGTGTAGCACGTGGTGTACCTCGTCGCCGACCCGTCGTGCCGTTTGCGCCCTCGACCAGCCAGCTGTCGCCGGACAGCGCATGCGCACACGGGGAGTCCACGACTGGGAGCTGACCTCCTCGGGGGAGGCTCGTACGTAGTCCAGCTCGGTCATGTCCTTCCTCGGGTCAGGCTTCGGCTTCGCACGAGCCTTCGGCTTCGCCCTGGCCCCGAGGTCGGCTCCTCCCGAGGTCGTCGACGCCACGTAGACCGCGACCTTCGTGTCATGGTCGCGCTTGACGTCGAAGTCGCTGAGAGAGCGTAGCCGGACTATTGGTCTGCCCGAAGATGGTAATCAGTGAAGAGCGAGGCGACTTCGGGCAGCTTGCGTCGCCATGCCAGTGACCGATCTGTCCGCATCTCGCACATCTCGTCGTACGCTTCAGCTTACTCCAGATTTCGTAATAAAAGGGAGGGGGTCTGGACCCTCCAAGGCAAGCCATTTCAGACCTCCCCCGTGGGAGAACCCTCCAAAACATCGTCCCCAGACCCCCCCAGGCCCTCCAAGATAGCCTGGAAGAGACCCCCCCCCGAAATGAGACCCCCTCCCTTTTATTACGAAATCTGGAGTATCCCTTGATCTGCGCTCCGGGTTGTCGCCAGATCCCTTGCCGTTGCGGTCCCGCGGCCGATCCCGGGAGCTTGCCGCAGAGCCAGCTGAGCGCGACTGGCTCTTGCCGCGGCCCCTTCCCGCGGCCTTTCGCCTGAAGCTTCGGCTCGTGCTGGACCATGACCGCGAAGCTCTCCAGCGCTTTCCTCGTCGATGTGGTCGATCTCCTCCAGGCTGGCCTTCTCCTCCTCGCCTACGTAGATCTCGGGCTGCGAAGCAGCGTGCGACTGGCCGGCGTCGTCGTCAGCCTGCTCGTCGCCCTCTTCGATGCCAGCCTGTCAAGCCGCGCGGTATGGGAGACGCTTCGGCCCGAATCGGATTGGCCGGGGGTCACCGCGCTGCTGCTTGTCCTTCTTCAGCTCTCGCGCTCGTGGATGTTCGATTGCTGCATCCGCAGGGCCTTGCCGAGTGCGTCCTTGTCGTACTTGTTGCCCGCCGAGCCGATGCTCGCGTGGTCCGACTTTCTCGAGCCCCGAGAACCCCAGCAGCAGGTGGGCCTGCAGATCGTTGGAGATGCTGGTCTCCTTGCTCACCTTCTTGAGATCCTCGAACGCCTTCGAGCGCCGAGTGGTGCACTCCTGCATGCTCTCGCCGGGCGCCCTCCAGACGGATTTGTCGTACAGCGCTCCGTCGAACAGCTCGGCCGCTCCGACTGGGCCCTCCTTGAGCACCGACTCGCCGAGGGTCGTCAGCAGCAGCTCCAGTCCGTCCGTGGTGGTTCGCTTCTTGACGTAGCTGGCGCCACCCTTGGCGCCCTCGACGACCTCCTCGTCGAAGGTCACAGCCTCGCACCGCGTCGTAGGCCGTCCCGCTGAGCTCGCTCCGCAGGTTGACCGGCGTCGCGATCTGCTCCTCGTCGCCCATCCAGCCACAGAACGCGTCGTGGACCCTCTCCCAGCACTCCTCGAAGAGCGCAGGATCCCCGACGTGCAGGGGGATATCTTTTTCAAACTCGAGCTTGCTGATCTTCGCTCAGGCGATCGCAAACATGGATCAAGGGGGCGTGGATCAGCGACTGGTCCCGCTTCCATGGGAAATCGCGGATTCCCGCCGCCCAACGAGGCGGCGCTGGCCACATTTTGGGGAGGGGACCTCCCCCGATCCATGGATGTGGCGACCGCGCGCCAAATCCATGAGGAGGAGGAGGAGGGGAAGGCGTGGGAGGAGGAGGAGGAGGAGGAGGAGGAGGAGGAGGAGGAGCAGCAGCAGGAGGAGGAGCAGGAGGAGGAGGAGCAGGAGAAGCAGGAGGAGGAGGAGGAGGAGGAGGAGGAGGAGAGCAGGAGCAGGAGGAGCAGGAGGAGGAGAAGAGGAGGAGCAGGAGGAGGGGAGCAGGAGGAGGAGGAGCAGGAGGAGGAGGAGGAGGAGGAGGAAGAGGAGGGGGAGGAGGAGGAGGAGGAGGAGGAGGAGGAGGAGGAGGAGGAGGAGGAGGAGGAGGAGGAGGAGGAGGAGGAGGAGGAGGAGGATTCCTCCCCCGAAAGCCTGGAGCACTTGTGGAGCAGCGCCAGGATCGCCAATCCGTGTTTTCGCGCCCCCGACTCGCCGCCTGGGCGCTCTCAGCACGTCGACGGCTCCGATCACGTGAGTGACGCCCGTGTCGGGCGCACGTGGTGGGCTCGCCGCTGCCGGTGGCGCGCGCCGGAGCCGCGCAGGCCCAGCACAGAAAAGGAGCCGTCAGCCTCCTCGCCGAGGATGCCCTCCAGCTCCTCCTCCTCCTCCTCCTCCTCCTCCTCCTCCTCCTCCTCCTCCTCCTCGCTGGAAGGCCACCGCCCCTGCCAGGGGCGGGAGCACGTTCAGCTCCGCGCGCAGCACAGCAGATGCTGGAGCCGACCGAGGGCGATGCGGTTGCGGCCGCCGCCGTCGCAGCAGCTCTTCTGGTCTGGACCCGTGGGCTCAAGAGCTCGGAGCCCAGACAGCGTCGGAACAGAAACGCATCGGCAGCAGGCAGGCTTGTCGGGGGGAACAGGGGACTCGCTGGTGCATGTCAACGGAGGAGGAGGAGGAGGAGGAGGAGGAGGAGGAGGAGGAAGAGGAGAAGGAACAGGAGGAGGAGAAGGAGGAGGAGGAGGAGGAGGAGGAAGAGGAGGGTGAGGAGGAGGAGGAGGAGGACGAGAAGGAGGACCGCGACGACGACGCGAAGAGGACGACGTGGAAGGGATGAGGGAGGATAGATAAGGGAGGAAGTGGAGGGGGAGGTGAAATAAGCGAGGGAGGATCTGGAGAGGGAGACAGTGGTGGAGGGGGTGGGGGCAGGGGACAGTGTTGAGGAGGAGGAGGAAGAGGAGGAGGAGGAAGAAGAGGAAGAGGCCGACGACGACGATGAGGAGGGGGTTGGGGAGAGGAGGGGGAGGAGGAGGAGGAGGAGGAGGAGGCGGAGGAGGAGGAGGAGGAGGAGGAGGAGGAGGAGGAGGAGGAGGAGGAGGGAGAGGTTGCCACCGTTCGTATCCTCCTCCTCCTCCTCCACCCCTTGTTCCCATCGCGTCTGGTCTGGTCTGGTCCAGGCTTGCCCGTTCTGGTGTGGCAGTGTGGTCCCCCACTCGCCATGGGTTTCGTCACTATAGACACTCTCCCGTCCGAGAGGTGCCTGCTGGCCATGCTTCTCCCTCGGACCACTCTTGGGCCGCTGGTCGATCGAAGGGATCGGGCGAGGATTCGGAGGAGGAGGAGCGGGGCGCGGGAGGAGGGCCCGGAGCTTGCAGAGGCCCCGCTTCTGCCTCACCAGGGCGCCCTCTTGCCCCAGGGGCTGCCCACCGCCTCACGGGATGGCAGGCACTTCTGCCAGACCTGGGGTGCCACGAGGCCCCGCGCGAGGCTGGGCCTTGCCATGTGTGCCCCTTGGCAGCGCGCGGCGCTGTCAGGACCGGACGGCGTCAGCGACGGCGGCCACGTGTGCCGCACCCCACAGATGGCCCAAGGCGGGGGGGACACGCCTTCGGCCGCGCAGCCTCGCGCCGCCTGCCCGCGCCGCGCGGGGCGCGCGCGCGCCCGCCGGCCCGCGCGCCCCCATGACGCGGCGCGCCCGTGGCGCAGCCCTCGTCGCGTGCGTGCTCTGCGGCCCTGACTTCGCCGGCGCTGGAGCGGGCGCGCCGCCGACGCGGCTTGCCATGGACAGCTCGGCCCTCGCCGAGGCGGCGTGCGGCAGCGGCGCCGCCGCGCTGGGCGTCGGGGCCCTGGGCGGCGGCACGGACGGCCCCGGGCTGCTCGAGGCGGCAGAGGCGGCAGGTGGGGGACAGGCTCAGGGTGGGGACGCATCGACACCCCCAAAAGGTCCATTCGTCGCCGATGGGGGCCGCATAGCCCACTCCGCCCAGGAATCTGTGGCTTCGCTGTCGGGGGCACATGGGCGACGCATCGGAGGCGTATCGCCGATTCCAGCTCGACGCTTCCCCCCCTTGAGCCAGTCCCCTGATGTTCTTTTTACTCGGGCCTCCAACCGGATCTTGACGATCTGGGAACCCTCGGGGCGCTCTTGGCGAGGCGCAACTGCTGGAGAGCCCCCCGAGGCTGGAATGCCGGCGAGAACCGACGACGTCGCCCGAAAGTCAACTCCGCGTCGAACCTCGAGCCCCGAGCGCCCCCCAATCCTTGCCCCTCAGAGGCCGGAGCGGGCGAGTCGTGCGAGGACCCCTCGCTCTCCATGGTGCAGCGCGCGGCCTCCTGGCGCAGGGCCCCCGCCAGCGGCCCAGGTGCCCCAGCGAGCAGCCCTGGACCGGCTGGCCACGCGGCGCCTGCTGCGCCCTCGCTGGCCGGGGCGGCTCCCGCGGCGGAGGCGCCGCAGATGGCGGCGGCCCCAGCCGCTGCCGGCGGCTCCTCCTCCGCCTCCTCCTCCTCCTCCTCCTCCTCCTCCCTCCTCCTCCTCCTCCTCCTCCTCTCCTCTTCCTCCTCCTCCTCCTCCTCCTCCTCCTCTCCTCCTCCTCCTCCTTCTCCTCTCCTCCTCCTCCCAATCCTCCTTCTAATCCTCCTCCTCCGCCTCCGCCTCTTCCTCCTCCTGCTCCTCCTCCTTTTCCTCCTCCTCCTCCTCCTCCTCCTCCTCCGCCACCGTTTCCTCCTACTCTTCCTCTTCCTCCTCGTCCTCCTCCTCCTTGGCCTCCTCATCTTCCTCCTCCTCCTCCTCCTCCTCCTCCTCCTCATCTTTCTTTTCCTCCTCCTTCTCCTCCTCCTCCTCCTGCGCGATGGATGCGCCTGCGCTCCCACATGGCGACGCTTCCGCCAGCCAGGCTGTGGGGTGCACTGAAGGTGCTTGCGGGGGCATGGACCACTTCTCACAGGATGCATGTGATGCCGATCAAGCGCTCCTGCCACTTCGGGTGCAACCTCCCAGACGGCCAGGACGCCATCCAGCACTACGTCATCTGCGGCCGCATGTGGCACCAGCTGGCCAAACCCAGAGGCCAGTTGAGCGCTCATCTATTGACGAGGCGTGGACTCCCCAAGCTCACCGACCCCTTCGATGGAGAGAACGGCATCCCGAACAGCGTCGCGAGGCTCAGCGTGGCGACGCGTGTCTACCACCTCATCAAGGACGATGTCCTGCCGATGACGTACCAGAAGCAAGCGACCGCCGTTGCTGCCGCGCGCCACGCTCTGAAGCTGCCCGCCGACCTGTCGGGCGGAGCGGGCGCGCCGTAGTTCGGCCTTCCGACGGACTCGCCCCCTTCAGGCGACGTTCGCTCCTCCTCCTCCTCCTCCTCCTCCTCCTCCTCCTCCTCCTCCTCCGCCTCCAATGTAAGCGCTGTTTCCGTGGGTCCAGGGCCGCCCTCCGCCCTTCTCCTCGTGTTTACCGAGGTGGTCCCGGGGTCGGGATCCGAGGCTTCGACGCTCCCAAGTTTTTGGAGTTGGGACACTCGATGCTTTCCCTGGACGCCAGCGATCATCATTTCATTGTTGTTTGCCCCCGCTGCAAGTATTACGCCATCGGAGGACAAGTGCGAGGTCTCGGCCAGGAGTGCCACCCCATCCCCGAACGGGGGCTCAGGGTAGGATGCGCTCCTGGAATCGCATAGCCTCTGGCCGTCATCCCAAACGCGACCTGGTCACAGTCGAGGTCGGGCCCTGGGCTCTCACGGAGCCAGAGTGCTAAACGAAGAGTTCTTTGAATATTGTGTGTTGTGTGTTTTGCGTCGTCTGATGTCAAATTCCTCCTCCGCCCCCTCCTCCTCCATGCGAGCCGCTTTGGCCCGAGCATTTCGCATGTGCCAAGGAGCGTCCACCTTGTACGTGATGCTTGAGAGGCACCAGCCGCTGTCCAATCACAATGTATTCTTTTTTTCGGACGGTTTGAGCTTGTTGGCTAAAGGGGCGCAATGACCAATAGGGCCAAGGGTAAGAAGACTCAGGCTCAGCTGTCGTCGCAGTCACAGGATACGTCAGAGTCTGCTTCGAACCCCTGGTCCACATTCCCACAGTGTGGGAAATGTGTGAGGGAGTCTCTCCTTTTCCAATCGTGGGTGCAAGTGTCAGGAGTGGGGCACCAATGTCACCCTCTTCGAACCGAAGGCGCTCAAGTCCTCCCCAGCCAAGGGTCGCAAGGACCAGGGCAACCTGCGCGCTCGGCTGCCCCCGACGCTGTCATGACGTTGGAGGCGGCGCTCAGCGTCGTGCGGGATCCTTCGGTGAAGGTCATATTGGAGCAGCAGCTCGCCCAGCCCCGTGCGGCCGCGGCGGCGCCGCAGAGCATGCCAGCCGAGGAGGCGGTGTTCCTTTCAGCCGGCGCCTGGCGGGACGCTTCAGTGGTAGCAGGCGATGGCCCAAGTGGACAGGTGCGTTGCCAACCTCCAGCGATCTCGACAGCGCGAGCAGGCGACGGTGCGCACGCGGGCGCTGGCGGAAATCAACAGGCGCAACGCCGCGGCGGGAGCCACAGAGCTCACCCCAGATCCAGCCGCCGCCGCGGCAGCTGCGCCCGACGCCCCGCTCATCGACCTGTCGTGGGACAACAGTGTGGACGAGCCCGATTGCGGCGCGGAGGAGAAGGCCGAGTTGACGAAGATGGGGCAGGAACAGAGGCCTGCCAAGGAGAGCGCGCAGTCAAAAGCTGAGCAGGTGTCGAGGTGGCGCCTCAGGACCAAGGAGTTGCAGGAGCGCGCGCTGGAGCGGCTGGCGACCAAGAAGCGTCGCACCGAGGGCGCCGTCGGCGGGGCCCCTGCGCGCGCGGCGCCAGCAGCCGCCGAGGCCGCGGGCGCGGGCTCGGCGCTAGCGCCCGCCGCGGCGGCCGCGGCCAGTGCAGCCCCAGCCCCAGGCGTGCCGTCGGCGGCCGACACCAAGGCCGAGATGGATGAGCTGCGGGCAGCGGCGGCGGCGGGCGCGGATGCAGCCTTGCAGGCGGTGCCGCAGGCTGCGGGAGTCGACGACTCACAGCTATGAGGTCGCGCGGCGGCCGAGGGCCCAGCGGCCCCCCCGGCCGCCGAGCCGCGCCGGCCGCCAGGCGACGAGAGCAGCGACCCCAGCCTCGAGCTCTGCAGCGTGTTCTTCACGAACAGCACCTGCCTCGGGCCCAAGGCCTGGAACCAAATCTCGTCGCCCGAGTTCCAGAAGAAGTACCGGTGCATTGGCCTCGCCGAGGTTCACGCCGGCTGCCACGCTCGCTCGAAGTAGGCGCGCAGTGCCAGAAAGGCCAAGTGGAGATGCATTGACAATCCTGCCCGTGCGACGAGGAGAGCGACTTCGTCGGCCAGCGTGGGCAAGGCCAAATAGGGCGGGGAGCTCTTCGTGTCTCAGGATCACCGACACGCGCATGGAGTAGTGCCCAAAGCTTTTGCTGTGCACAGTTGTTGCGCCGTGCCCAGCTGTTGCGCCGAAGGCTCAGGTGCCTTCGACGTCTTCTTGCCGGTCGTCATGCACATGGCTGATTTTGCCGCCATCTCCATCGTCTTCGACGCGCGTCCAACCGTGGGTTTCGCAGGAGAGAACGCGCAGCGTTTCGCCAAGATCGGCGCTTTCATTCAGAGCGTGCAGCTCCCGTGGTTCATGGTCTGAGATTTCAATATTGATATCGATGCGTTTCAGCGCTCGGCGCTCTTGAAGCGAATCCAAGGATCTACCGGGAAGGGCTGGTATTAAATTTACTTGCGTACGGGGAGCAGGCAGTTCGCGTGTCGATTTTGCGGCTGATTCCGAGAATGCCCCAAGCTGTTCGGCGAGCTCAAAGGCAGGGCCGCCGAGCTCAAGGCGGAGCAGGCGGGGCAGCAGGCGCGCCCCGTCAGCAAGAAGCGTAGAGGTGACGCCGCCGCATAGGTTCATCGAGCTTCTCCTGAGCCGGCACAGCCGCGCGAAGCTGGACCTCCTGCCGCTGCGACTGCCGCGGGATCTCGCGCTGCACCTGGAGCTCGAGGCTCCGCCCATGATCCTCGCGAGGGCGCTGCCGCGCCCGTGCTTTGCACGCCCCGTGCTCAAGCGCCTGCTAGCGCTGAGGATTCAGGCGCTGGCGCGTCCAAGGCTTCGCCGGAGGCTGCCCCGCCTGCCGATCCTGCCATAGTGCGCGACCAGGCCCGCCGGGCCGTGCAGCGCGGAGCGAGTCTGGCGGATGGGGCCCCAGGATGGGGCAACCTGTCTGCGGTGACGAACTCCCCGTCACCCCATGACCCAGCCCTTCTGCCCACTTTTGCATGCCCCACGCACGTCTCCAGCGCATCGCAGCGCGGGTGGGGAGCGGGGGGGAGTGGGCTTTTCTGACCTTGGAGTTCGTTACCACAAAGTGCACTTCATGGTCATCGATGAAGTTCTTCCTGCCCACAACCACAACCCACGTGGCGATGCGCCAGGAGCGTGGCGATGCGCCAGGAGCGCGAGCTCACCAGCGACGAGGGCATGCGCAAAGCGCGGGCATGAGGCTCGGTGTCTTCGAAACGGTTGGAAGTCACATTTTGATCCAGGTGCTTTGGGGCCCAACGGAGGAGCCTCAGCAGGCGTGGCTGCGCTCGCCCGTGCTTCCTTGGGATTTCACGCCCCCTTGTGCCGTTGCCCAGCTTCAGGCGAGCCGCGCCACGGGAGTTTTGATCCACCTTCCAGGGCATCGTTCGTTTTACGTTGCGCCGCTTTACCTTCGGGACTGCGTTGGGCCGAGCGATTTCAATCGAGACCCCTTGGCCTCAGTGGCCCCCAGGGCGATAAACATTTTGGCCCAACACATAATAGGTGGAGATTTCAGCCTGGAGCCCTCGACCCTGTCTACTTCGCGTGTGCGCAGGTGCTCGGGGCCTCAGATACTGCGCCCAGCTGATATATCGGGCACCCGCCGCTCGACTGCAGGCGCCAAGATGCACGACCACTCTTGGTCGAGGCCAGGGTGGCGCAGGCAGCTGCGCGGATCAAAGTTGCCGGCGACTCGGGGCTGACGAACACGACCCTGCTTCTGTCGCTCTCCACCCCCAGTTTTCCCATCTGACTGCCTTGAGTTTCAAGGGCCCTCCGCCTGTCCCTTCCGCTCGGCCTGGGGGACCTGGGCGCGCCCCTCCAAGGGGCTGGGGCCCCGTGGGCCGCTCGGCGGAAAAGGCCCTTCAGGTGGCCAGTCCAGGGGGCAGAGATCGCACCCGGTTCAACCTCGACGTCCTCTATCGCGAGCGGGAGTTGGCATGAGTGTTCCAAGCCCCCCTCCCGTTCGCTGGAGGCCGCGGCAGACAAGCTCAGCCCCGCTGGCTTAATGCGGTGAAGGATCTCTCGGGAGTCATCCCGCCCTCGGCCACCTCGAGCACCGCCTCGCAGTTGCGGTGGCTGTGCAGTCGTTTCCGCGTGCGGATGCAGATCCACGCGATTGGAGAGCAGCCCTCAAGCGCCACCCCCTCGCCCCCATGCGGCGCCGGAGTCGCCT